CCTCTTTATGAGTGGGTTTTTCGAGACTACCAGTAGATCATTTATATATGCAGTATATTCACTCTATTTCATTTAAGATGTGATCTACTCATATTATTGTGGATAAAATTCATCTACCATTCCCGTAATTTTAAATGAAATAAGGTGAATAAACTTTATATGTAACTTATATATTCGTTTTATTCCCTCTCTTACTCTTCTTATATCACCATCCATTTTCAATTTATCTTTATGTTAACCTAATTACTTTAAGCTTTCCTCAATTGCCTATGTACAAATGTCTTTGCATCTATTCAGTTGTTGCTGACCAACGCTTACTATTGCGTCCAAGTAGCTCTCTCCTTACACGACAGCCTAGGGCTGGACAAGGTTCTTCCTACAGCAGGCCAATCTGTACAACTGTGTTGACTGCGACATCATTTACTAACAAAGTTACGTCTTGGCCTGCATTGGCTACAACATCTAGTCTTTCTAGGCCTGCTTTCTCGCGTCATCCTCTCCCTTCGATCTCAAGACCTGAATCTAATCGACAAGTGCTTGAGGCAACGGCATCAGAGCTGCCGCCACACCAACGAGCTTCTTTTCTCATCCAAGAGACACACGGTCATCAGCAGAAATTTACACCGTTTTCTCACCAATCCGCTGCTGCTAAGTCTGCCTATATGCCCACATCCCTTAAGGTTTGCCTAAATAGTTGTGGTTTATACTATTGCATGTAATGACCATTCCGTAACATTTTTTATCTGATTTCATGCAAAATTTCCCTATTTTGTGCTGTAGTAATTTGCGATAAATTATCTTGTAGCACAGCTTTGTTTTTAGTTTTTTGATGACTCGACTTTAGAATCATGAATGGTATTGTATTGATACGACCTTGTTTTCGCAAATTGGTCGGGGTTACTAGGTTACCATAGGTGGTCCATAGGAATACACAAAAGAACATATCCCATTACTAGCATTTTCGCAGTTCACGTCTTCGCTTTGATCGTTCAAACAAATTTTGTAATTGACTTGTTTTATAAATTTTTATTACAATGCTAGATCTTACCTATGAAGACCAAGATGGCGTAGCCTTTTATATGGTCGCAGTCT